CGCACAGCCAGGCACTCCTGCGCCCCTCTCCAGCGCACAGCCAGGCTCTCCCAAGCCCCTGTCCAGGGTCCGCGAAAAGACTGGCTCTGCAGCACGCTCTCTAGACCCCGCTCACTTGCAGAAGGACAGGACCCCTCCTTCCTCTGCACACGAGGGGAGCCAGTCCCGGGGTTGCTCCAGACACCAGCCGGGTGTGGGCGCGGGACCTGGGCTCTGCCTCCCGGACTCGCCTGCTCCCTGCGGCCTCACCCCCTCCCTGCCCTCCACAGCCATGAACGGTGGCCTGTGCCTGTGCCTTTGCGTGCTGATGGTGGTTCTGGCGACCGGCGCCTGGACGCAGCCTCTATCTCTGGCTGGACCCCCAGGACCTGGGACCCTGCGCCCAGAGGATGCGCCCCGAAGGCAGCTGCGGGTTGCGCCTAGGACGGCCACCGAGCCCAGGGCGCGCCTGGGTGCTCTGCTAGCCAGGTACATCCAGCAGGCCCGGAAAGGTAAGCCCCCCCACTCCGTGCCTGCTGTCCTAGTCTGATGTCTGTGCCCGAAAGGAGGTGTCCCCTTTCCAGAGTCCCCCACCTTGGACAGGGTGGGCCTGGCGTCCCTGTGGCAGACTGACAGCTGATGTGTAGGACTTGAGGGACCTGCATAAACACTTCCTGTGAGCCCATCTGGGGCACTGCGCTGCGGATTACGCCAGCGCCATTTCAGGGGCACTGAAAGATACTGACTACACCCCCAAAAGGGCTCCAGAGGCATCAGACATCCTAGCTGCGTCACCGTGGAAACCCCCTGCCCCAGGTGCCCAGGCCCTGACAAGATGTGGCAGTGTCTGTTCTCTCCAGAGTAGTGACAGCAGTGCTGGCTGCAGCTCGGAGCTTCTCCTAGCAGTGGGTAACATGGTTACAGAGACGTGCCTGTCTGCATTTTGCTGCCTGAGAGAGACAGTCTTGCAGCATCAGAACCCTTCTCTGGGAGTAGGGAAACACTAGTGGACCCCCCCCAAGGGTCCCTGTCCCCATGGCAAGAGGAGATGGGACGGAGCTCCCTGAGCCCTGCCTGGTCTCTGTGACCCAAGAGGCTCAGCCACAGCAGCAGCCCGCAGGACCACGGCTGGGGACGGTGTTTCTGTTGGCTTTATCCACAGTGACACCAAGGACCCTGCTGCTGCTGGGCAGGGCTACACGGGAGACAGGCTGGGCAAGGGAGGTGTGGGAGGCCCTTTCCACGTGCAGGGTTTGAGCCTCAGCCCCTGGCTTGGCCAAAAGGGAGAGCACACAGGGTCAGCCCTCAGACTCCTGTGCTCTTACCTGACAGGAGACAGGACCTTCATGTCCAGGGCGCTTCAAAGGAAAGGACAGGAGGCTGCCTGTCACACTTCTTCCTCCTGCAGGGAAATCACCCCACCACCACCTGTGTGGCCTGCCTGCTACTTACATTGAGAGATGGACACACAGGCAGGGACAGAGTTAGCCTGACTGCTTCGGGGCTCTTCTCGCAGGTGGGAAAGTAATTTATGTCTGCCCCTGACGTGGGCTGAAGACCATCGAGACCCACCTGGAGTGTCTTGTGCTGTGCTGAGCTGTAGATAAGGAACTGTCTCCCCAGGTTTAGCAAAGACCCAAGAGAAACAATCTAGATAAAAAATGAGTTGCCAGACTATCTCCTAGCCTTGCTCGGGCAGCTCTGATAGCAGGAACCATGAGCCTTAGCTGGAAGGTTTTTCCAAACCATCTTCTCAACCCCTTTCCTTTCCTGCAGCTCGGGGCCACATAGGCCCAGGTAGGAACAGAAGTCACCTAGGGATTAGCTGTGATGTGGGGATCAGCGCCAGCTTGGGACACCTGCTCTTCCAGCTGACCATGGGAACGGAGTGATACTCACACTCACACACTGCACAGTGCCCTGGGGTGTGTTGCACACTTGGAAATCATAGCAGACTCAGCTCTGGTATCCATAGTGCTTCAAGGTTCTAGCCAAGAGCCTGCATGTGTGAGTTTCTCAGCAGTCCTGACTCTTAGTGGCCTCTGGGCTCTTAGTGGCCAGGGAGACACAGCTCTAGCAGGGGAGGCCTGGAGAGGCCTCTGGTGGCCCAGTGGCACACAGCTCACACCTGCTCAACCCGCAGAGTTTGGTGCCACAGCTGACAGCCTCTCTCTGGCCTTCTGAGAGCCCTGATGGCACCTTCACGCCCTCTGTGTCCCTGCAGCCACGGTCCTGAGGGTGAGTGACAGTGGTGTGGCCTCACCTCCAGGCAACAGCAGGGCTGAGGGCCTGTCCGTGTCCTGACGTCCTGGCAGCCCAGTGGATCGCCGCTATCCTGGGTTTAAAGGGCCACTTGGCTCCCGTTCCAAGGACGAGTTGTTAGCCCTCCTCCCCATCAGCCCAGGGACAGCCCTAGGTGCAGACAGCGTGAGGTGTGGGTGAGAGGAGGGGGCACGCGGGTACCCCAGCTGTGGCTGTCGTGGGAGCTGTGCTTCTTTAGGCGGGGACCTGGGCGGTGGCAGCCCGGAGCACAGTCACTGTCGGGGCAGGGAGGGGCCCTTTCCACCCAGCTGCACCTGTGGACCAGCTCCCCGCAGGGCAGGCAGTGTCCAGGGCAGGGGCTGCCGCCTGCGGAGGTGATGCTGGGCAGGCAGGGGTGGGGAAGGGCGGGCCCTTGTTGCTTGTGCTCCTCCCGGCTTAGCAGCTAGTGCACCTCATCTCGAGCCCCTGTGGGGCTGTTCATCAGCAGAAGAGCTGCCCTGTGACTCCCCCTCCGGGGCAGAGCAGCCTGGATGGGGATACTGAGGGGTTCCTCACCTCTCCCTTGGGTGCCCAGGCCCCTGAGGGGTTTGCAGGGTGGGACACACACACACACACACACACACACACACACACACACACACACACGATTTCCT